TGGATTAGTTGAAATGGTTAATTGGTTATTAGCAAAAGGTGCATATGTTAATGCAGCAGATAAATTTAGATATACGCCATTACACATTGCATTATCAGGACAAACAATTAATGTAAATGTAATTAATGCATTATTAGATTCAGGTGCAGATAAAAAAGCAAGAAATGTTCAACATAGAACTCCATTACATTACTTATGTAGACAAACAAATATTGAACAATTTTTACCAATTTTAAATAGATTTTTACCAGAAGGAGAAAATAATAAAGAATTTGTTAATTTAAAATCAAGTAAAGGAGATACTGCTTTAATTGCTTTATGTAATGCATCTATGAATATTGATGCTATGAAAATTCTTTGTAAAAATGAAGCAGATGTAAATGTTCAAACAATGGCTGAAGATTTCCCTTTATATTATGCTATTAAAAAAAGAAATAAAGATGCTGTAAGAATTTTATTACAACACCATGCTCTTTTAAATTTAACATTTTATGGAAAAGATGTTATTAAAATAGCTGAAGAATATCACTTTGAAATAGAATTAAAAGATATATTAAATTCCTCATTTTTAATTGATAAAATGAGTGAATTACAAATAAGAAAGCTTCAAGAAACATTTGAAACAATAAAATATCCCCAAGAAAAATGGCTTAAAATTGTTAATCCTGATAAAACTGCTTTAATTAATATCTCAACATTTCCTGTTGGATATCATTTAGAAAATTATTCAAATTGTTGTAGTCATATTCATAAAGAATTAAAATATTATAACACTCATGATCCTACTCTTTGTATTAAATATTATGAAAAATATTTTGATTATAAAAAACATATTAATTATATAGTCCCTATTCAAGGAGATGTTTTTGTTGTTTCAATGACTGAAAGTTTATTAAAACCTTCTGCACTTAGTCCAAGATTTACAAGAGATTCTTTTGATTTATCTATACCAAAACGAAAAGTAATTATTAGAAATAAAAAAGGTGATTTAAGAAAAGAATATCCTGGAAATATTACTGACATTCAAATATTAAAAGAATTGGGTTATAATGGAAAAACATTATCCCCAATTCACTCTCGTACTTTATATACTTCATTAACTAAATTAGAAAATCAAACAGTTTCAGAAAAATTTAAATTTGGAGTACTATATGGAACAATGGGTCAACTTACAGAAAATGAATTTTATAATAACAAAGAAGCAAGTCCTTATTTTGAACAATTCTTAAAATTATTAGGAGAACCAATTGATATGAAAACATATCCAGGATATTGTGGTGGATTAAATTGTAATGGATTTCCTTTTGGAACAGAAATGATTGTATCTACTTTTAGTAATGGACAAATAGAATGTGCCTTTCATGTTTCTACGATGTTACCTTTTAATATAAAAACTGATCAACAAATAGAAAGAAAAAAAATTATTCAAAATGATATTTGTGTTATTATATTTAAAGAATATAATTCAATTCCTGAACCTATAGATATTACTTCTTTTAAATCTCTAACAAATCATGCATTTTTAATTATTGGATATGATTTAAATCAACCTTTTTCTTTAACACCAAAATATGATATTAATTTATGTGTTAAAAATGATGTTCCTCCTATTCCTCCTTTTATTACTCAAGAAAAATATCATTACGAATCTGCTTTACATGACTTTTTACTTGCTAAACTTATTAATGCCGATCGTCTTTCTCAATCCACTTCATTTTTTAGAGGAAAATTCTTAACCAATCGCCAAAATCAATTGGAGTCTATTTGTTTAAATGCGAAAGTTCAATTCTAACTACTTTATTGTTCTTCTTTTATCGATTTTTGTTTTATATAACGATTTTGTTTATTTAATTTTATTTTTCTGTATTTTAAAAAACTTTTTTTGGAGAATGGTATGGAAAAAGCTAATTTATTTCTTATTTCAATACCAATTGAGTTCTAACTTTAATTATTTTTAGATAATTAATTCTTCAATTTTATAAAAATTTTTCATAAATTTCACATCTCTTAACTTTATCAATCAAAATATTCTTTTTTATAACACAACAAATTTTTTAAGGAGAGTTTATCAGTCTTTCATTCTTTCACTTACGGTATTAGTTATTTATTGATTTATCCATTTCTTCATTATTATTACTGTTTAACTAAAGATGATTTATTGTTTTAGTATTTGTGTCATACCCTTTAAAACATAAATAAAATATAAAGAGTAATAATAAAAGTGATAATTCTGTAAAAGAAAATAAGTGTCAGATTCTTGTCACATGATAAACTATTTCAATTCTACACAACTTATCAGATTTTGTTTTATTTTTCTATAATTTAACTCTGAGTTACCCTTATTAAATAAAATTAATCTTTCGTATAATAGTATTATTTATTGATTCAAATAATGAAGTTAGTAATAAATTATCTACATCATTTATTGAAACAATAACCTTTCGTAAAATCAAAAAGTGATTAACTCATCACAAAACAAATACAAATGAGATACTCAAAGTATGGACTTCATGATTAAATGAAATTATAACATAACACAAACATTAACGGAAAAGTCAAACAAAGTTAATAAATATTTAAACTCAAAATTATTACAAATCAATACCACTTAAAAGAAGAATGTCAAGACCAATTAAAGTGTTTATGATCAATGGAAGTCCAAGAGAAAAAGGAAACACTTTTACTATGTTGAATTGGGTAAAAGAAGGATTAGAAAAAGAAGGCATTGAAGTAGAAATTTACCAACTTGGAAAGAAAGAGATTAAACCTTGTGTTGCATGTTGTGCTTGCCAAAAAACTGGAAAGTGCTGGCAAAAAGACCCAACAATGGATGAGTTGTTGGAAAAAATAATTGCAGCAGATGGTGTTATTATTGGAAGTCCAACGTATTATGCAGATGTTCCAGGAATTATCAAGACGTTCATTGATAGAACCCAACCAATTTATTACAACAAAGAAACTCTTAGAAGAAAAGTTGCAGCAGCAGTTGTTATGGCAAGAAGAGGAGGAGCTATTCATGTTTATGATACTATTAATCATTGGTTTGGAATTAACCAAATGATTACTATTGGATCGAGTTATTGGAATGATGGATATAATCCAAATGTTACAGACCAACACGAAGTTGAAAAGGACGAAGAGGCTAAAACCACCATGAAGAACTTAGCAGAGAACATGGCGTTTGTTCTTAAGAGAATAGTAAACACTAATTGAATACTTTATATTACATTAAATTTAAAAGAGATAAAGAGAAGTGATAAAAAGATTGAGATATGAAAATAATATGAAAAAAGAAAAAGAAAAAACCCTTTTTCATTATAATAAATATGAAACAGAAGGGTTAACAAGAAATATAAAAAGGGTAAAAGAGAAAACTAAGAAGTAAAGAAAAGAGTCATGTCTAGTACAGGAGTCAAAACTATGAAAGATTTCATGTTGAATAAATCCAACATTAGAAATATGTGTGTTATTGCTCACGTCGATCACGGTAAATCAACATTAACAGATTCACTTGTTACACTTGCAGGTATTATTTCCAATGAAAAAGCTGGAGTAGCTAGATATACTGATACTAGACCTGATGAACAAGAAAGATGTATTACTATTAAATCAACATCAATTTCTATGTATTATGAAATTGAAGACAAAGAAGATATCCCAGCTGATGCTAATGGAAATGGATTCCTTATTAATCTTATTGATTCACCAGGCCACGTTGATTTCTCATCAGAAGTCACAGCAGCACTTCGTGTTACTGATGGAGCATTAGTTGTCGTTGATTGTGTTGAAGGAGTTTGTGTCCAAACAGAAACTGTCCTTAGACAAGCCTTAACAGAAGAGTTAAACCAATTGTCATTATTAATAAAGTTGATAGAGTTATTCTTGAATTAAAAGAAGAACCAGAAGAAGCATATCAATCATTCTGTAGATCAATTGAAAATGTTAATGTTCTTATTTCTACTTATAAAGATGAACTTCTTGGAGATGTTCAAGTTTCACCAGGAGAAGGAACAGTTGCATTTGGATCAGGACTTCATGGATGGGCATTTACACTTGAAAAGTTTGCTAAAATGTGGTCAGCTAAATTTGGAATTGATAGAAAGAGAATGTTAGAAAAACTTTGGGGTGATAATTATTGGGATGCTAAAGCCAAGAAATGGAAGAAGAACGGTAAAGGAGATCATGGAGAAATTCTTCAAAGAGGATTTGTCCAATTCTGTTTTGATCCAATTACTAAATTATTCAATGCTATTATGGAGGGAAGAAAAGCAGATTATGAAAAGATGTTAACTAATTTACAAATCAAATTATCAGCTGATGATAAAGAAAAAGAAGGAAAAGAACTTCTTAAGACAGTTATGAAATTATGGTTACCAGCTGGTGTTACATTACTTGAAATGATTGTTCTCCATCTTCCATCACCAGTTGTTGCACAAAAATACAGAACATCAAATCTTTACACTGGACCTATGGATGATGAAGCAGCTAAAGCTATGGCTAACTGTGATGAGAAAGGACCATTAATGATGTATGTTTCAAAAATGATTCCAACCAATGATAAAGGAAGATTCTATGCCTTTGGAAGAGTTTTCTCAGGAACAATTAGAACAGGAGGAAAAGCTAGAATTTGTGGACCAAATTATGTTCCAGGTAAAAAGGATGATTGTGTTATTAAGAACATTCAAAGAACTATGTTAATGATGGGTAGATATACTGATCCAATTGATGAATGTCCATGTGGTAATGTTATTGGACTTGTTGGAGTAGATCAATATTTATTGAAATCAGGAACTATTACAGATTCAGATACTGCACATATTATTAAAGATATGAAATTCTCAGTCTCACCAGTCGTCAGAGTTGCTGTTGAAACCAAGAATCCATCTGATCTTCCAAAACTTGTTGAAGGTATGAAGAGATTATCAAGATCAGATCCACTTTTGTTTATGTTATACTGAAGAATCAGGAGAACACATTGTTGCAGGAGCTGGAGAACTTCATCTTGAA